CAAATCTGTGTTTCCTGAGTTTGCAGCTCTGCCCAGGGAAATTCTCTTTGTGCCCTCACAGCCTCCTCTCTCCCCTTCCTCAGCCCTGGCAGGAGCCAGAATCATCATAGGAACTGTGGGACTGTCCTCTCTGCAGCTCCTTCCTAGGTGGCCATTGTCCATTGTCTCTTTACATTTTCACCCGTCTCAATGGGTGCTAATGCATTTGCCATCCTTTGCCCAGTCACCTCCCAACTGACTAGAATTATTCTGGACATAATTGGTTTTTTAAGTCATAATTTCCTCCACCTTTCTTATTCTTACTTCTTCTTCTCCTCACTGACTATATAGATATTCTACAAGTAAATTTACATGATCATAATAAAACAAGTCCTTTAGTGAGGACACCAGAGATTTTTCCACCATCGCCCTATGTAACTTTTGACCAACTGATTTCTGTGCTTCGTTTTTTTTTGCATGTCTGGGACGAAGAAGGAAAAGCATGGGCATGGAGACTTTACAGTACATACTATTTAAGGTTTTTTTAAGCAGTACAAACGAAAGTGTATGCATTCTGAATATATTAACAACATGTACTATTTATTAGTAGTAGTGCTATATTCTTATAAAACAGCAATTTATGTCAAATTAGGCTGGTGCTGTTGCACTGCCAGTGCTGGATCGGAGTTTGGTTTCCCTGGGATTCGTGTTTGCTTTGATAATGCTTCTGTCTGGTTGAGCAGTTTGTGCATGTTATCTCTAATGTCCTACCATGCTGCTGACTGCTATATGAATAATCATAAGGGGCTTGACATTAAAATTGTGAATTCATATCTGAATTTCCCCAACAAAGTATAGGAGGTTTTGGATCTGCACTTGGTTTAGATTAGTCAACACTTTCCTCAGAGGACTAGCACTGATTTTCACAGCGATGAATATCTAATCTTCTACTCATCTTTTACATTGTATCCTACTTGAATAAAGATCTGTACAATACAGCAGTATTAAGCTGTTTATGAAGTTCGCTGTAATTGGTAAGGCTGTGGCAGCTCTGGCTACTTGAAGATGGAGAATTGGAAAGTTCAAAATATGAAAACGAACGTGTATAGCAGTTGGAGGCTGCAAGATGCAGTTAAAATACTTAGTACCGTTTATCCTAATATCCTACCTTCCCTTCAGCATGCAAGAGAACCTCGATGCCCCAAATATACAAGTGTTTAAAGAAACCCCAACAAAGCATGAAAAGCCTGTAGCAGAGTAGCATTATGCTATAGCACAGAAGCTCTTCGTGTAATATGATAGAAGAAAAGGCCATCTTCACATCTTGAAGTACTGTTTGGCTTGGCCACAGGCGTTTCTCAGCGCAGGGTGTATCCTGCAGCCGTACTCATACAGGTGAGCTCTGCTGCTCACCTCTGAGATAGCCGCTGCACATCAGTGTTGCATGCTCTGTGTGGCTGTGATCCTATTTCAGATCTTGTTGCCAAAAAAAGCTCTCCTGACTTTTAAATAAGCAAGTTACCAGCCGTATTTGCAGACCAACTGCATCACTGAAGCAAAAACGCGGTTTCCCGCCTGTTGGGTAGTGTTAACCACATGGAGCAAATAGTTTCAACTCTCCTAAAACTGCTCGGGCTTCCTGTTTGCTTTGTGGTGCAATTAAATGTGGCAAGTTTGGTGGGTTGTTTCTTCTGTTTGTTTGTTCATTTGCCCCATAGCCCAGTAAGTGGAAGGTAAGAGAGGCTGCTTTTAGCCTTCTCTGTAGAAGTGGTGAATAAAGCTTCATAAATATTGCTGTTTACTAAAATTGCCAACATCTGTGTGGCTCAGGACCCAGGAGGGGCAGGTGTGGTTGTTTTCTCTCCAGGTGTCCCACTGGCAGTTGAAAGTGTTCTTGCCAGGCATTCCTTTAAATACCAAAGCACAGTGGTTACCTTGCTTGTTATCATCCTCCTCCTTTTTCTCCCACTGTTCCTTCCTCCAAAAGCTGACCAGCTGTCTCATCTAGGCTATGAACATTGGTTAAATTGCTCATGCAGCAAATTAATGTAGAGAAGGGATCTTGAAGGGAGATGGTTAGGAGCTGCATGGCCAGTGTTCCCAACCATGTCTGTTGTGTAAAGGGATGCCAAGCAAGATGTGCAAGAATGGTGTACCTGGATCAGTGAAGAGAGGAAACAACCTGAAAAAATATGGGAGGAGGAATGCAAAGGAGTGCATCTATGAAATAGTGATAATTAAGGACTCGAAAAAGTCTTTGTTGAAGAAAAGGGATGTAAAAAGAAGGTACTCATGTGAGTAGTCATTGTAACTGGGGTACAGCCAAAAGGTGAAAAGAAAATCACGCTTTAGATTTGGCTTTGGTAAATACATAACAGACTGAAGCACTTAACCCTAGCCAAGCACTGCAGGATTTTTATCCCCATCTGTAGGGAGTCTATTCTCCCTCCTGTGAGCTCTGGGCACTCCTTATGCTGCAAAGACTTGTACACTGAGCCAGCAGTTGTATGACGCAGAACGTCTGAAAGTCTGTAAACCCTTTTCTCCTGTCCATTTGTCTTTCTACTGTCTACAGTTTTATGTTAACCCTGGCTAGTCCCAGTCTGAGAGATTATCCCTTTCTGTTTCCCAATGCACTGGTTTATGCATGGCAAATACTAATTTTTTTATTTGAAAGTCAGTTTGTGTTATCCAACAACTGTGTCAACATCAGCTTTAGATACCAATTTTTCTTCTTTGCCTGATGCTTAGCTTGGAGTCAAGTTGTAGGTGCAGCACTGTACCCTATTTATTGTTATTGCAGGGCTCTTAACAGGGGACAGAGCTGCCCCCCTGGTAGAGATCAGCCCCTGCAATTATACAAAAAGTGACCATTCTTCTCTCTTCTGCACTCTCCTAATGAGTCCTGCATAAAACTTGGACCACGGTGTGACAGTTGTGTAGTAGGCTGGGGGCTGCATCATTTGCCGAGCCGGACGAGCCTGACCCTTGACAGCAGGAGCGTGGAATTGTGGTCTTGGCAAATTGACCAAAACAAGCGGCACGCAGCACGCGTGCTGCGCGGTAAGGGAGCTCAAGAGCTGCGAATTCAAAATTAACCTTTCAGAGTTTTAGGAACAACTTCTGGTTAAATTTATAGCAGATTGGTGTGGAGATGGTCTTTTTGAACCGGCGTGCCTAGTATTGGAGGCATTTGAAATAATGCCACGTGGAGGCCGCTCGCCCTTCTTACCAGTGTTTTCTTCAAACCCATTAGCACTGTTTTGTTCTCAATAACACAGCAGAAAACCAACTAACTGACTTTTCCCTTCTGTTCTCCCTGGAGGTCTCGGATCTTTAATCTAGCAGGTTCCAACTATTTTTCCTCTTTCCCTTCCCCATGGTTTCTGTTGTCCAATTTCTCACAGGCCGTGTGGGCAAATGTCCTGTAAGTGTTCAGTACAGTCCTATCTGTGAAACTTGGAGATGATGAATAGAAAAGCTGTTGAAAAGGAAAAAAATAGCAGAACAGAAACCAGAATTCCTGTAAACAGTCTGTTAAAAATATCTTCAACACATGTCAGGGCCGATGATTTAAAATAGACAGTTTCTGAGCTTTAAAAGGTCACATTAAGATGTGATAGTAGATTCAAATGGAGTTGAAGAACGAATGTCACATTTTGTACTGATGGTAAGATATCTGTGTTGCCAACTAGTAATGTTCAGGGGGAAAAAAAAAGAGGCAGATTGCAAGAATAATGAGCTTCTCTTGGATTATAACATGGAAAAAAAAAATATGCTTTAATCACATGCCTCCAGCAGTAGAAGCTTTAGGAAAAATTCTGAGAGTTGGAAAATTGCGGGAGCAGTTGGGGCAATGCATTGATGTGAACAGTGACCGATACTGAGACTGTTCGTTTCCATGTGTGGGAGCAAAATAATTACAAGCACAAATCCATGTTCACAACCTCTTCTTATTTGTGACCCAAACCATGGTGGGTACTTCTCAAGTGCAAGAGATGTGTGGCAAGAGAGATTTTTTTCCAAAGGAGTGGTCTTTGGGTATCTAGTTGCTGCTGAAAATTTAATGAGACAGAGGAGGGTGATGGTCTTGGAACACTGGAAGTGTTTCTTGTCCCCATCTGCTGCTGGTTTTGGAACCACTGATTTCCAAGCGACAGGTCAGTGGGATGCTCTGTGAAAAGGGGGATAGACACCCCGGGGTGTGTGAGGAGGGGCCGGCCCTCGTGGGCCCTTCTGCAATGGTTTGGTGCTGGGGTGGGTTTCCCCTGCACCCAGCAGTTGGGTGAGTTAAAAATGGGGTAGGTATGCTGTGTCCTTGGTATCCAGCATGTAACCGGGGTACTTGGTTCCCCTCTCCCCCATGGTGAGCAGGCACTAGTGAAACACCAGGTGTGTTGCAACCCCCCTTCCCTAGGCACCTTGCCTGCCTTGGAGGCATTTCTTCTTGTCCCCCAAATCACCCGACTCTCCTTTGGGATTTGGGGTCCTCCTCACCCTCATGGCACAAAAGTTTTTTCCAGATGAGGGAAGCACAGTTGCCCCACTGACTCTGGCAAAGGAGCCCTTTCCAGGGAAGGTGTGAATCCCAAACCATGGTGAGTTTTCCACATCCATGGGGGTGTAGGCCCGACCGTCAACACCGAGCCCTCCAACTCGGGTGGGACTGGCACTACTGTCCAGTGTCACCAGCCGCGTGGCCCTGGCACCTGCACGGGATGGTGACAGCCGTGGAATGCTCTGGACATTTTCAGTGCTTGGCTGCCAGGACGGGTGTCTGCTTGGGGGGGGTGGTGCTGCACTAACCCACGCGTACCCCCATTACCGGCGTGCAGCGCACGGCGAGGCTGACCCGCGTGGGGCTGGCTGACTGTGGTGCGGTGGCACACCCCTCCCCCCACCCCCCCACGCTTGCAGGGGTTGTTGCTGCGTGCGCGGCACCGGCTTGCTGCAGGTGCGCGGTCACCGCCGGTGCAGCCTTGCTGATGGGCCTTCCCCCGCCCCGCTCCGCGCGCGCGCGCGCTCCCCGGTGCGTGGCCGCGGGTCACGGGTGGGCGGTGCGCGCTCGCCGGCGGGCGGCCCCTTTGCAGACGGTGCCCGACGCCGGGGGCGCGGGAGGCCCCTTTGCAGACGGTGCCTGGGCGCGCCGGGCCGAGGCGGTGCCGCCCGCCCAGAGGGGCCGGGAACTGGGAGCCGGGAGCCCGGCCGCTGCAGGTGAGCGCCGGGCCGGGGGCGGAGGGAGGGGGAGCGTGGGCCTGGGAGCGGGGGCCCGGCGGGAGCGGCCGCCCGTCCCCGCGCCGCGGCCCCGGGAGGCTCGGCCCGGGGTCCCTGCGGCTGGTGGGGATCGCTCCGTGCCGTTTGCGGCAAATCCCAGTTAGTCCTCGGGCTCCGTTAACAGGCTGTCTTCTCCTTGAGGAAAAGCGGCGCTGCTTTAGGAAAATGGGGTGGTTGAAGGCGCGGTAATCTGCGAGCTGGACCGGGATTTTGGCAGTTTTGGGGGATCATCCCTTAAAGCCGTATTCCACCCCCCCCCCCCCCGCTAGAAGCAGATGTGCTGCAGCCGTGCTCCCTGCGGTGCCCGAGGCGGGTGGATGGCCGCTGCCCATCTTCTGTGGCCAGGAATTGCACGGTAGCCACTCGTGTCACCTGCTGACCCACTCCACGGTGTGCTGGAGGGGTCTTTTCCTGCCAGCCTGGCCTTTACCCAGAGGATTTGGCTCTTGGCACCTTGTTGCTTGCAATTGAGAGTCACCCAGAGATTTGTGTGCGCTTGGCAACATCTGCCCCCTACCCCGTTCCCTCCTTCAACATCGGCGTCGTGCTGCCGAGGCTGGTGGCTGATAGTGGAGTGTGTTTCTCCCGTGGGTTAGTGTTGGATTGTGTGTTTTGGCAAGAAATTCGGCAAGAGTGTCTTAACACCTGAGTGTGGTATGCTGTACGTGCTGGAGATGGGAACCTGAAAGTAAAGGAAGTTGAATATAGTGGTTGGAATCTCATTAGAAACGTATTTTTTGTTTTCATCTACAAGATGCGCTTGGGTTTCTGCTATTGTCCGCTCATGGAAGTGATTGGAAAAGACTAATTTCATCAACCTCTTCAGCTAGAAGCTTTCATTTATCACAGCTTCCTCCAACTCCCAGACTATGCCCGTGTTAGCAGTAATAGCGAGGGTGCAGTGATCCCAAATCACTTCGCCAGGATTTAAAAATTGCAACATCCTTCATGAGATATACATGTGTGCATGAGAAAACTAAAACACGGAGGAGTTAGTTGTTTGAAGTCACACATCAAACAATTGTCAGGGCTGGGAATGGAACTTTGTACGTTGTCAGTTTTTAAGCTCTTGCTTTAACCACTAAATACACTGTTTCCCGCTAGATGCTTCCTCAGACAGTACTGAAAGCGTAGTTGATTGACTGTGAACTTGCCTAAAAGGTTGCTTGAAAGTTTCCACCAGAACAAGGTTCTCAAGTCCTCCCATCAGATGCCTTTCTTACTCCCTGATGTTCCTCTGCCTCTGTGGTGATACTGTTTTACTTCCAGAATGAGGTATGGCTTTACATTTCTATTTCTCTTCAGTTGTTCTACCTAATCTCCTCTTTCCCTCTCTCTGGCCCTTACTTGTGGTTGGATCTAAGGTTCTACTGAGCTTGAATTGATGGTACATCCCTCTGATGCTCTTTCTTTAGTTGCTCTGGAGCTGGGAGCCACAGAACTGCAGCCTGTTCTTACCGCCACGTGTACGTTCTGCTTTCCTATCTCTTTACTTGCTGACAACCCCTTTCATCATCAGCCCTGCACGCAAACAAGGTTAGCTCCAGTTCAGATTACATTAGTGTAGTTCTGCTTCCCATTACTTTTCTCTGTGAGCCTGTTTTATGGGAGTGTGCGCGTGTAAGGAGGGCATTGAGCAATATAAATGCTCAAAGTAAAGGAGCCTTTATTTCATAAAGGGAAGGGCATAAGCTGAAGGATTCTTTGGACCCAGTGGTTGTTTGAAGCCTGATCCTTGTAGTCTCCACACAGACAGAATGCTTCCTTGGAAGGTGGAAAAGTCCGTGGTTTTCTGCTGACATCTTGATGCACGATAGATGCTGATTTTGATACGTAAATGCTGGTTCGTATCAGCCCCTCTGGTAGGGAAGGGGAGGCTCTGTAGTGTTTGAGAGGCCTGACGAGTGAGGTGCTTGCAATTTTGTCCCTTGCCCAGTTATCCTGGGCAGATTCCATTGTAGGTCTGCCTCAGTCTAATGGTTTGTGTAAGCAAAGTAGGGAGTAAAGGTGATTAGTAGAGGCTTGGAAATCGCTAATAAAAGGCGTTATTGAACCAATGTGTCTACTATGCAAAGTTGAATGAACAACAAACTACTGTTGAAAGAATGAATGAATTGGTGCAGGGAGTTGTGTGGCAGGATATAACAGATCAAGGTACATACTGATGTGTACAGAAGCTGATAATATGCGAAAACCTTTATTTGATTTTTATATTTGGTAGAGGTAGAAGTATTACTACGGTACACCAAATAAAGGAGATTCAAATATTCCAAACTAGAGTTTGAAGAAGTAAACCCTGGAGATATAAAAGCATTGATTTTAGAGGTTGTTCAGTACTTGAATGCTTATCCACACCTTTTCAAAGGATCCTAGTTTTTTCCTACCTAGTTCATGTGCCAAGTCTTACACCTGTGTGTATGTGTTGAAGGAGGAACCAGAGACACTTAGAGCTCTAGTGCAACTCAGGTCTTTACTGAAGGTGCAACACAGGAACTGAAAGAGAGCAACAATGGCCTAACAGCACAGTTGGGACACTGCTCCATGTTTTACAGAAAGCTTAATGCAAGTTGTAAGGCAGCACTTTTGTTAACGAGAGCAAAATCTATCCTATTAATGCCACCTCCAAAATGATGTTAGGAGGTACTCAAGAAGGCAGAAAGCCATTCTTCTAGCATAAAGGCTAGCTGATTATCCAGACTTAGAGTCTTTCCTGGTGACAGTCTGCAGGGGATGGCGGTGAGTTCTCAGCCCAGCTTGCTGTGGATGCTGCAGGCGGGCTGGAGCATCGAGCGTGACCTGCTGTGCTGAAGGTCTCTGCTTGGTTGGAATGAACGGGGCAGCGCAGCAGACGCTCGCACCTCTGCAGGCCAGCAGTCCCCGAGGCTGTGTATCCAGCATGTCTCACCCACACGTGTGCATTTTGAGGTTTATAAAGAGCCAGGTTGTTAATAGTTGTCAGCAGGTAGAGCTGCAAAGGCCAGTCTTGCTATGAGCATCCACATCATGGGGTTGGAGCCTGAATCAACATCTTTTACATTATGCCACCAGAGAGGCCGATGCAGGGTGTTTTTCTGTGTGATGAAGCAAAGTGGCTGGCACCTGGGTGTGAATATCCAGCTAGTCTTGCAAGGGGGGAGTCCCCCCCCAAAACTCCCACATATGGTCACAGTTTGACACACTTACCTGATACAGGAGTTTTCCCATTCTGTTCTTGGAGAGGAATTTGTGGGTCAATTTTACAATCTGTTGATGCTCAGATGACTTGCCCGTGCTCTACAGCAGGCCTGTTTTACCCCATGACCCTCACCTAAAAAGCAAGCCCAAGCTTAAAACCCTTTCAGAACACTCACTAAAATGGGTCTGTGCTCGTGAAAGCTCAGGGTTGGCTTGAATCTGCCAAGTGTATTGACTGTGTGGTAAAGACATGCCAAGCATGTGTGTACACAAAAATTCCCGTGGTCTCCTCCCCCAGCTAAACTGATGCCTGCGATGAAAGTGGCTTCCTGCTGTCTCCCACGCAGCGCATCACCTGTGAGCTCTGTGCCACTCATTTCTTATAAACTTGAAAGGTATTTTTGTAGTCCTGGGGTTTAGTAATTTTGTAATCTGTTTGTGGGCGTTAGAGCTTCCGTATCTAACGCTGGAGCCTCACAGAAGTTTGTGGAACGCTACTCCACGAGTGATCTTGCTAGCTTGCTGCTTTTTTTTTTTTTTTTTTTCTTAATAGCAGTTGTATCTTGTAAACACCAGAGCTGTGGTTGATAAAATTCGTAAGAGGAGATTTGTGTTAGTGTGTTTTATGTTAACTTCTGGCTTGTTAAATACTGACTGGATAATTTCAAGTGTGTCTGTTACACTCTGCATAATTCTGCCTTTATGTACAACTATGTATTCCTCAAGGTGTGTGATCTTAAAATGTACGCTAGCTCCTATTAATGATGTTGTGGCTATATTTGTTATATGGCATCCAGTAACATCGGGGTTTTATGTTCTGTCCTGTCAGGCTAGTGCATGGACTAGTCCCATGTGCATATCCATAGCTCTGCCTTGATCTCTCCGGCAAAGATACACATTTATTACCTTCACACTACTTAGTGCAAGGGGAAACCTTAAGGAGGGCAAAGCAGTCTGTAGATTTCCTGCAGAATCATGAACTGAGGCAAAGGGGGGAGAGGAATTGAGGATTCACCTTCATCTGAAGCCTGGAATTTTGTCTCATGATGATTTTTCTCTGCCTCTTTTTCTGCCCAGTGATGAAGACGCCTGGGCACTGTAGGACGGGTTCATTGCCCATATGACTCTCAGTAAGGAAGTAATTAGTACCAATGGACACATCTTTCCTGATTGCTCCCTTTGGAAATGATTCCACATCTCAAAATTACTGACATATTATGGAGCAATTGTCCACTACTATGAGTTTTTGCTGCTTGTTGGGCTGGTCTGAACCAGAGGCAGGGGTGAGTGTGGTATGGGTTTATGTGTATTTCATTCCTAGTTTTCTGAGAAAGTGTCTTGCACAGATTTTTACTTTCACCTTGCAAAAGTATTCCACAGAGAAGAAATACATGTGGAAAGGGGAGTATGTTTGAATCCTCTGAGAGCTGTGAGGACTGGCTTCATGTTTGGACCCATGGGAATCTATTGTTGGGTGCATGCTTGATGCTTTGGGACCTGTGTTGTGTGACAGCATGCATTTCTCTTCCTCTTACATTCTCTGAGAAGTCCAAAGCAATACTCTGCTCTACCATTTGAGAGCTCATTTATCTGCAGACCGAAAGAAGCAGCTGTGATGGCCCCCACAGACGGCAGTCACAGCCCATGCTGTGCATCACCTAGTTCAGACGCTGCTTGTGCCACTGCAGGGCTCCCACATCGGGTTGTGGCTGGTCACTCCTCACATTTTCTTAGCAAGATCGGAGGTTCCCATAAACTGTGCTTGCTTCTTTTGGGAAAAGAGCTTCCATTACTGCCTCCCTTTGGGATAGGATGAGTGGCTCATGCTTTAGGGCATCTGGGGCCCTGCTCATCTCAGGGAAACAACAGAATAACGTTTTGAGCAAACTGCATCTTGTTTTCATGTGCTCAGCTGTTCAGCAGCACTGCCAGTGAGACACTGTCCCTGTAGCTCCTGCCTGTGCAATACCCTTGCCTGGAGTCGGTGCAATTGCGTGGCTTGTAGAAAGCCCTTAAAGCCCTTGATCTTGGGTGTCCTGCGGTTTTTAGGTCAGGCTTGTGTACAAGCAGGCCCAGAGGAAAATTGCTGCCAGAGATGAATGAGGAGGTATTTGAGGCCCTGTGGCTTCTTCAAATGCTCCGTGCTTACCTCCAGTTTGGGGGGCTACATGAAGTTCACAAAGTGATACCCTTGGCCTTCACGGGGGCCTGGTCTTTAGCTTGAGTGTACACATTGATATGAGTTGTCTGGCCAGCCAAGCAGATCAGCTGGCCGGCTGGTCTTGAGGTTTATCTCGCTTGGACGGGGTGGACATACGCGCCAGCTGTAGACCCAGAGCTTTGTGCGTACTGGTGGTTCTGCTGCTTTGCCCCAGGGTGCCAAGCGCCGCGTGTGTCCTGTCCTGCTAAACTCTCTGGCGTTCTCGGAGTCGGAAGGCAGCAGTGTACCTGCCTTGCACTCAAAACAAGTATTTGAGGGTTGTGGGAGATGCAGCTGGTGGGGGAGGAAGAAGTATCATAGGAAGGTGTAGGTGGGGGAATGTGGAAGTATTCTAGCAAGAAGATGTTTTGGGGTATGTTGAAGTAGGAAGAGTGAGGACTGTGAGGGTGTCTTATGGTAGAAAGTGGATGGCTACAGCTTGGTGTTGATAAGTGGGGGTCTTTTGATAGCCAGTGTACCTGCTCGGGGTTGGTTCTGTGGGTTTGCATCCCACTAAAACACAAACTTCTCTCTCACCCTTGCTTGTCGTAGCTTTGAGTGAGATGCAAGTTGTGTAGGAAACTAATTTCTGTCAAGTGTGGGTTGATTGACTTGAACCTCAGGCTACCAGACTTTCAGGTCAGAACCCTGCCACAATAGGGGTTTTTTAACAATAATCTGTCTGTCCACCTGGATGAAAGTCTGAGATGATGCTGGGGCTTTCAAAAATTTGCAGCTGCCATGGGGTATCTTTTTTTTTTTAAAGACTGCTGCAGTGAAAGACAGTTTATTTCAGACAACCCCGGTAGTGTAGACCCTGACTAAAAGAAGTGATGCTGCATTTGGCTATTCACAAATGGCAAAATGACCCAGAGGAAAGGGAATTGTCATTACTTTTACTCAGAAGGTTGAGATAGTGCAAGCAAGGTTATAGCCTCGAGAACTCTGTTCCAATTTCCCAAGGCAAAAGGGAAGATGAAAGTGGTGTGGTGCAAGACTATTAATCTATGCAGAGTTTGATTCATGTAAAAACTGTCACACTGCATCAGAACTAAGGTCCAACTGTAAAGCATTCTGAATTTAGCAATGGGAAGGAGAGAGGCTTGGTCAACAAAGTAACTGAGACAGTGCAAGTCCAGAGTTATTCTTCCTTTGGCCTATCCACTCCATGTTCTGTTGGAAAAATCCCTCTACGCTGGGACATAATCAGTGAACTTGGAAAGACAAGGTACTGAGCAACTTGAACTTGACATTGTAGTGCTGATAGCTTAGATAGGTGCTTCATATCTGATGGGATGTGGCATCAGGTAGAAATCCTCAGCAGATGGAATCAGTATAGCCACTGTCGTGCCTTCCGTCTCTGCTGGTCAGTAGAGTTGTGGTAGTTTGGTGCTTTTGTTGCCATTGGGAAAGGCTGAGGTAGCAGATATTCTAGAAACTTGCTGGTTTTGTTGTTAATGAGCAGAAGAGGAGCCAAGCTTGTTTTGCTTTATTCAGACTTGTAAGCCTTGCCTCCTCCTCCTTGTACTTCCCTCCCTCTTAAGGCACATGGGTGGGTTTGTGGTCTCTGTATCCGGTCTCTGTGATACAGCATGTGCACTGAGGAAGCAGGACAGATAAAACATAGCTCATATTTCTGGGAATCCTTACCTCACTGCTGATGGGGAAGTGTTGTGTTCCCAGGCATGGGCAGATAAGATGCTGGGCTTCTTGTCGTACTGAAGCATAGGGCTGGCTCACGAGAAGCTGCCGGCAGGACTTCATGATTTGGGAGACCGAAATCTTCAGCAGGATGTTGCTCAGTTTCTTTCTAAGTTTGCACACTGTCTGACAGCTGCAAAGCCATATTTTAAGTTGTGAATGAGCAGATATGGTATTGGTTTCATGGGCTGAGGGTAAGTGACACTTAGAATTGCTCAGGGCACGTGCAGGTCTGAATTTTGAACCAACAGAGTCAGGCTGGCAGGAGGCTAAAGCCTTGGTTTCACAGCAGCTGTGAGCCATGGCTGTGTGAGCACCCTCTGGGCTGTACTGCTGGCATGTTTCTCTGCTGACCTGGTGGAAACATTCCGGTAAATGAAAGGGAATTTAGGTGAGCTTATTCCTCTCCTGAGGTGGTTGAAGAGAGAATTAGAGGCACTTCCCTGTCTCTTTCTAGGAGCTAATGCTAACAGTTCCAAGCTCCTCCTGTACCTGGGGACACTATGCTCTGCTGCCTGTTATCTCTGGAGGAAACTGGAGTTTTATACTGCTGTAGTATTTTGCCTGTGGGCAAATGGATGGTCCATGAGGGTTCCTCTGATTTTGCTGTTGTATGTCTTTAAGAAAGAAAATGTTTGGTGATATTCTGGTGAATGCCTTTTGTTTTATCTGTTCATGTGTACCCTTATCCTGTGTTTGAAAATGGCTGTTTGTACCTGATAGTGTTCATATTCTTCTTCTCTTCTTTACGTTCTTTGAATGTACTGACAATAAGTTGTAGAGCCCTGCCAAATGAAAGGATGCAGATGGAATTAACAAACTTATTTTGATTGCCTCAGCCTTAGATTTCATTTTCTCCTGTATTTGTAGAGAGGGGATATACAGTGGAATATTATTTGTTTGTGTGTATAAAAATGCATGCATACTTAGAACCAGCAACACCTCTTTCTCCTTCTTGCAGACTGGAACTGATCTCTGGAAAAACAAAGTAGAACTTGGAGCATGTGGCCTGAGGATTGGCTTACAAAGCCAGAGGTAGGGACTCATTGTTTGTGTTGGCTGCTTGGTCGTAGATGAGCTATCGGGACAAGTGCCTTTATTCTCAAGTGGAGACAATTCTTTAATTTCTTTGTCAAATGTAGATGTAAATGTTAATCCTAGTCTAGAAGAGATTAAGGAAGGGTTGCATTAAGGTAGAAGCAAATGCTATAGCAAGAATACCTCTGTGGCTTAAAGGCACTAGACTGGAAATTTGACTAAGGTGCATATTTTCCTGAGCTGTGAGGATATGCTAACCTTCTTTTCTTTGGGTTCTTTTGCACATTGATTTTCTACAGAGCCCAGCACAGATCTAAGGAGATACTATGTAGTCAACAGCAACAGACTTTTTTTCCTTTTCTTGCAGGTGGTAGCTAAGAAGTGAGCAGGATGCCCCCAGGCATTTACTGCCCTATGGAATTCTGGTCCAAGGGGGAAAACCAAAACATCCAGGTGGACTTTCTGCTGCCCACAGGCATATACTTAAACCTCTCTGTGTCCTGCAATGCCAGCTTGGGCACCATCAAGCAGGTAACAGCCTTGTTCCACACTCTCATCTGCAGCGTCCTGGAACAAGGAGTCTGTTCTTGGGGAAGTGTGGTGGGTCTTAACTCAGTGCAAGTTGAGTTTCTTCTGCCTTGTTCCTTGTGACTCACTGTGAGACATCCTCCTTTGTGACAGCCTCTGCAATCCACCAAACCCATGTTTAGCTGCTGAGACTACCAGCAGCAGGGTGCTGGTGATGGTGCCAGGGGTGCCAGGCTCCATTCTTTGGGTACTCGTCCAACCTTGGGATGAGAACTAGAGTAACTATGGAGTGAGGGCAGATTTGAGTTGGCCACGTAGGGCTTGTGGATTGTGTGTTCAGTTACTCCTCACCTGAGCCAACCAGTCCCCACACTGGATTTTTCATTATGAAAGCTCTTGTGTATGTGTATGCAAGTAAGAGAAGCCAAATAGTCAAATAAAATGCTGGACTGACTCAAAGTATTCAGGATGCCGGCCCAGCCTTCTCTTGCCTCACAGAAATTTGATACTGGAAATTGGTAATGGTAATGATAGAGAGGATTTTTCTTAGTGCTTCATTTGAGGAATAAAATGCTGTAGTGAAACCGTGTGTAAACAAAATATAGCTGCTTCCTTGTTTTCCTGGGCAGGAAGCAGGGTTAGGAGGAGTGAAGGAAAACAGTGGAAAAGGTTTTCTCTGCAGCAGCAACCTGGCCTAGATGAGTCACAGATCACAAGGGACAGAAGCACAGTGCCAGATTATTCCAAGTTTTCTCATACTGCAGTTTCCAGGTTAAAAAAAACAAAAAAACAAAAAAAACCCAAAACAAAACCCCAAACAAACAACAACAACAAAACAAACAAACAAACAAACAAAAACCAGAAACCCAAGACCAACCAAAAAATCTGTAAGTAGAGCTGAGTGGTTCAAGCTGTTAAATTATAGGTCTGTATTTTACAGGCAGTAGATATGCTGGGTCAGACCAGGGACCCATCTACTCCTGAGTTAAGTCTAAGCAGGTGCTTAGGATGAGAGTGAAGAAATGGAATATGAACAGTCATATGGAAGTGCCATCCACTGGGAGCAGAGGATCTTTGGGAATTGGATAGTGTTGAGAAAACTTGAGAAAAGTTCTTGGCTCCTGTCACAGATTTCATGTTTCTGGGAGCAAGTTACTTAACCCAGTTTTGCTTCCAGTGGGAGTAATGCCTCTATTGCACAAGGCTGGCAGTCAGCAGGTAGTTACTGTGAGGTATTCAGGTGGGTGTTACTTAAATACTCAGGTTGAGGGATCTACTTTGCTTGAAACAAATGGCAAGCATGAAAAAAGGAAGTCACAGGCACTTGCAAATAGATCTACCCAGCAGTTCAGACTTGGCTGAAAAGCAGCCTGTGCTTGCAGCCCCAGGAATGCTGTGAGGAGGTTTGGCTGTGCATTGCCTTCACTAAATGCTGTATCTTGGGAGAGTGAGGTGGTGAGAGGAAGAGGAGGTCCTGGCAGTGCAGCAGCAGATTCACCCTGGTGTTGGTCTGGCCCAGGTGGTGTGGAAGCATGCACAGTATGAGCCGCTGTACCATATGCTCAGCGATCCCGAGGCCTATGTATTTACGTGCATCAACCAGACAGCAGAACAGCAAGAGCTGGAGGACGAGCAACGGCGGCTTTGTGACATCCAGCCCTTCCTGCCGGTGCTGCGGCTCGTGGCTCGAGAGGGAGACAGAGTCAAGAAGGTTATTAACTCCCAGATCAGCCTGCTCATTGGAAAAGGTCAGTTCCCCATCAGTGGTCTCGCGGAGTGTGGCAGCAGTGTTGGGTGTAGGTGAAGCATGCTTCTGTCTCAGCCTTGCTACGTGTGGAGGAGTGATGGAGCCCTGCCTACGCAGGCAAGGAAATGAGCAAGTTTGGCCTTTGATGGAGCTGGCAAGGGAACAGGGTGTGTGCAGACCATCTTTTCTGCTGGTAGAGGGCAACAGTAATTGAGTTGGTGCAATTGTACGTAGTAAATAAGCGATTGCTAGTAGCTTGGCTGACTCTTCTCCTTTTGGCCAAATATTAAGCATGTGTTTAGGAAGACTGTTTCACAGACACACGATCGTCAAAGGCTCATTTCCTTCATTGGGAGCAGATGCTTATTTTGCCTTTCTGTCTTACTCTCCACTTAGGTTTGCATGAGTTTGACTCTGTGCAGGATCCAGAGGTGAATGATTTCCGCACCAAAATGTGCCAGTTCTGTGAGGAGAGAGCAGCAAAGCGGCAGCAGCTCAGCTGGGCAGCTTGGATGGAGTACAACTTCCCCTTGCAGCTGGAGCCCATGGCCAAAGTCCTTGGGACTGGCCCTCTACATAACCCCACCAAGAACATTTTTGTCAACGTCAAGTTTCAGTCTGGCGGGGTAAAGCACAAACTTTTCTGTGACAATGTTTAACTGGTTTGTGCTTTCCCTTTGGGAACCTTTGGGCATTTGGAGACAGAATAATGTGTGTGTGGACAGTGTTTCCATGTGTTTGGTGTTCATCTTCATTCTCCAGATTCCTTTGCCTGTGGAGATGGTTGGGAGGGAGACTCTGAGCCTCCAACCAAGGGAGCTGTTCCCCTTCCTGAACATGCGCTGGGTGTACTGGTTAGCTGGTAGCTGAGGTTGCTGCATGTACATGTGGTGGAAAGCTTTTTGGGTAGGGGAGGAGCACAGAATTCAATACCTGCCTTTCCTTTTGAAGCCCAAGAGTCTGCTCAGCTCATGCTCAGCATACACTGCTTGCAGGCATCGGTCTGTGTTGCCCATGGGCCCCTATTCTTGCCTGCTACCCTTGGATAATGTTCTTTTTGCATGTTGTGCCTGGGCATGAAGCAGGAACCACCCCCATGGGAGAAGGGCCTTCCAGAGCCCTGTGAGCATGGTGACCCTAGCCACCCTCTGCCTTGCTGGTGGAATGATAGTGGGAACATTTTTAATGACTAGCAGCCACATGAAGTAGTGATTCTGCCTAAAGTGGACTTGAAGTTCCTGATTTCCAGCCTTGCGCTTGCGCTACTGAAACATGCTCCTGCCCAGTTTGGCAAACATCCCTACTTTTTTTGCTAATGTGTGTGTGGGGGTAATTCTGCCTTCCTATCCTTCTCTTTATTGTCAGAAACAGGAATGTTGTTACGTATGTATCCCCTGAGCTACTGCTGCTCCTTGTGCTGATTTCAGCCCTTTGCTGGCATTTGACAGTGTATGCTGTGTTGTTGGGATTGCAGGAGAGCTTCACTTTCCAGATCTCTCCAGAGGAGTTCCCCATCACATTAATGAGCTACGCTATCAAGAAGCAGGCTACTGTCTTCCGCCATGAGACAGTGGAGAACCCAGAGGACTACACCCTGCAGGTGAATGGGAAATGGGAATATCTCTACGGGAACTACCCCCTGTACCAGTTCCAGGTGAGCTTTGTGTCTTGCTTTATCAATGAGTCTGTTCCCGTATGGATGCCTCTTGCTGGGAGGGTGGATTGAGATGTGTTATCCTCCATCAAGGAGGTAATCCTGATGCAAGAGTGCAACACATCAGTGGCAGGACCTGGACACTGCTTAGCGCAAGGGATACTTCTAGCAACATAACAGATCCTTACATTTTTGTCCAGCCTGCCCCTGGGTACCAAGTGCTGTGTAAATGCATTTATAGCCTATGGTTCTGGAAATGTCTGTTTGCTTGCATGGTGGCCTGGGGGTTCTCTTTCTGAAAGTTAGGCAAATAGTCCTGTATTCTGTGTTCCCCTGGCAGGGCAAACTGCTGTCGGGAGTGCTGAATCCTTCTCAGTGTCTCCCCTTAATGCAGCCACTTGAGTCAGTTGATAAAATGCCAGCTATAAAAGGTACTTCATATTCTCAGTTCTGGCAACAAGAGTCCAGTGTGTTGTGGGTTTATAAAGCAAGCAGAGATGAATTAAAACTGAATTCTGATTGTTGCTGTGTCCTTTCCTTACTCGTTCCACCTGTTTCTGTTTCAGCCAGTTCTGATTTTCTTGGCTGCTCTTGCATGCCTGGCTCCCTTTCATCCATGCTGACTCTATCCTCTCTTTGCAGTATATTTGCAGCTGCCTGCACCGAGGCCTGACGCCCCACCTGACCATGGTGCACTCCTCCACCATCATTGCTATGAGAGACGAGCAAACCAACTGTATTGCCAGCCCCCCCAAGATGTCTGCCAAGCCTCCCCCGCTCCCTAAGAAAAAGGTAAAAGGGGACAGTGAGCCAGAGAGGGGTCACACTCAACTCACCCAGTGATGGAAATGCTGATCTTGTCTGGGAGCAGCAGCAACTGATTCTCCCTGCCTCGCTCAGGACAGGTTCCTAGCTGGGGTCAAAGAGCTGGGAATTTCCAGTCAGCCTTCAAGCTCCCTCCACAACTTCCCTGGTTGTCCCAGGCTTCATGCTGCCCACCTGCAATACAGTGCTCTTTTCAGTTGGAGCAAAAAGCACGTGATGAGAGATGAGGTCTGGTGCTGGCTTTGAGAAGTCTTTGTTGCATCCATTTCTGATCAGAACTTTTTTCTCTTTCTAGCCAAACTACGGTTCTCTCTGGTCCTTAGAGCAGTCTTTCTACATTGAGCTGGTGCAAGGCAGCAAGGTCAATGCAGATGAGAGAATGAAGGTAGGTACTGACTCACTTTGAGGTTTTGGTTTTGTGTTTTGGCTTTCCCGGTTGCATGTGTCTTGTTTGTGTGGTGAGGAAAGCAGGAGCCAACAGCTTGATCTCACGTGATCCTCCATCATGCTTCATTCAGCCTTTGGGCAGTTTCTAAACTGCAGCGTGACAGGAAGGAGAAAATAACTTACTAGCCAGCAGCCCAGCAATGCGTTCTTAGAAACACCTCCTCTGCAAAAGTTTCTGAGTAGCAAACAGAGCTGCTGTCCTGTGGTAATACCACTTGACAGCAGTGTGGAGGGGGCAGGGCAGCCTGCAAAAAGCAGAGGGGAGATTCAGCTCCGAGGAGAGAGAATGGTGGGAGAGGTGGTGGCTGATAAAGTTAAGGCAGAAAGCATGATGCAGCAAAGCCCTGGGTTTTGCAGAGTGTTTGCAGTGAAAGGGGAGCAGGTGAATGAGAAGGGGAAGGGCTGCCCTTTGGGAAAGGAAGGAAACAGGGCTAGAATATATCATGTATACAGGTGTTCTGCAGGGCAAGGCTTTATTAAAGAAACAGGGAATGAAATAGTTATTTTTTCTGCCCAGTGCCCTGTCATTTGCAGGGAGCTCCTCCTGGGGAGGACTCCTGTGATTCAGACTAGCCAGCAATGCTGTACCAAGAGGTAAAGTTGGAGGTGAGCTTGGTCTATCAGCTGTACAGCGATCTGACAGGCTGTAAGAGGCGTACAGATTTGCAAGCAATTGTGTGCCTGGAGACAGCTCCCCACTGGCACTGCGCTGCAGGCCTGATGTGCGGCTCTGCTGTCTGCCTGTACCCTTCTCCTGTGATGTTGCTTTGCCTCCTCTTTGGCATAAGCACTTGCCCAGCTCTTGGTGTCTGCCCTGCTCTTTCAGCATGACAGGTTCCTGAGCTTTTGCAGCATCTCAGGGACAAGGTTTGGGGAATATTTATATTGCCTGGCTTTACAGGATGAAACCTGTAATACTCTTGCCAATGGATTACCCAAGCATTTTGCAATGATGAAGCAGCTCTTGCGAGTCTGCATGAAGTAAAAAGATTACGATGCCCCTGCTGAAGTTGAGTAAAGAGGAAAACTAAGGAACTTTAATGACTTGGGAAAGACACATGAGTAGGGTATCCTGTTCAGGGGAGTGGATGTCCTGTCCCATTCCTCTTCTAATTGTGTGTCTTCAGCAAACAGGTCAAGTCTCTGTGGATTCATGGTGTTCTCTTATTTCTTTCCCTCAGCTGGTGGTGCAAGCAGGTCTCTTTCATGGCAATGAGATGCTGTGCAAGACAGTGTCAAGCTCTGAAGTGAATGTATGCTCAGAGCCAGTGTGGAAGCAGAGGCTGGACTTTGATATTAACATCTGTGATCTTCCCCGTATGGCACGGCTGTGCTTCGCCCTCTATGCTGTCATTGAGAAGGCAAAGAAAGCACGTTCCACCAAGAAGAAGTCCAAGAAAGCTGTAAGTAAAGCCAGTATGGGACTGAGCCAGGCTTGCCAGTGCTGGGGAGCACTTTGCTTTCAGAAGAAGGTGTTACTAATAAAAGAGCTTATGAAACGATGGCCAGTAACTTTTTAAACAGGAACAGGAAACTGAGGAGTGTCTGCCCGTAGAAAAGGTGGTTTAAATGTAATTTCTTGTCCAGAAAGACCATTAAGAAACATACCCAGCATCTGAATGCGCATAAAAGGGAATAATTTGTGTTAGTGTCTCCATTTTGCTGTTCCACAACTTCCTTGTTTTGTAGTTGAGGTTAAACCATCTTCTGTGTTGCATCTTCTTTCTAGTAAGGTCTTTCATGCAATCCCCCAGGGAGCAAATGAACAGCTAAGAAGGGGGAAGAAAATGAGGAATGTAAACATTGGTTGCAGCAAAGCTTTAGGTGAGGTAAAATGAAAGTACAGAATCTTCAAGGTTACTGTTCAGATGCTGCAAACTGACAGAAAGTGTTAAATCACTTTGGAAGCTCTTGTTTTGAGCTTCTGAATCAGAGATATAGTGATGTATCTCATTTTCCTCACCTCTATTTCAAAACTTCTAGCCCACTAATAATTCAGTAACTAAAAGTAGAATTAAGTGCAGCCTGTGATTGAATTGCTGGTTTCCCATTGCTGTAACTTAAGCATGATGCCTCTAACTCTTCTTATGTGAAGTTTTCTTTATGAGCAAAAAATGCATTTGTTCCTCTGCAAATTATAGTTTCTGCAGCTACTACAACACTGTTGCCATGCTTTAAAGAGAGGATTACTCATGCCACCTGTACTAAGGTGCAGAGAAATGACGGACTGATAAATGTGATCGCAGAAGACGTTAGTCTCGGTTCTGCTAGCTCCTTTTTACTGCTCAGAGGCTCACTGAGCTTTGTTGTGTTGACATAAATAGGGGTCTCGGGGTTACAGTGCCTTAATGTCTGGGGAGCAACAGGCAACCCATGAGTCTTGCTTTGTGTGGACCAATTTCTGGGTCGGAGACTTCAGACTGGAAGCATTTTGAGGCCAGGACTAGGATCAACCTTTTTATTGTAGGTGGTTGTTTGTTTGTTGTTGTTGGTTTGTTGTTTTTTTTTGTTTTTTTTTTTTTTTGTCTTGTTTGTTTGTTGTTTTTTTTTTTTTAATTGTTTGTTTGGGTTTGTTCATTGTTTGGGGTTTTGTTTGTTTGTGGGTTTTTTTTTTGTTTTTTTTTTTTTTAATTTAAGAATAGCAGAACTCCAACTCCTGCTGGAGGCTTTTGTTCAACAGAATATGTGATTCATCCACTGGCTGCATTTTTGTGGTCACAGTGGAGTAATTTTCAGTTTTGAAGCAGTCAGAAGGAAATCTTGCTATTCTGATTGGCAAAACAAAACCAGCCTGGTTAAGTTGAGTTGTTAAGAGGATCTTGCTCATGTGTGTTCTGCATTCTGGTGGAGAGTCCTTAATATAAAATCACAATATTTGCTGCAGCTGAACTCTGTGGAAATGGGTTTTTCCACATGGTCAACTGCTGCTCTGAGTGAGGTGCCCAGGTGTCATTCAAAATGATTTGTAAGAGGAGGTTACAGTTGGAGTGGATGCTGATTTGTCTTTTTGATGACTAATCTTTTTGATTGCTTTGCTTACAGTACTCGGAGGTTAATTACATGCATGTTGTTTGTCTGTGCAGACTGTCCAGAGCAGATAGGTGGGACTAAGTCATTTGCTGCCACAAAAACAGGCATGCTTGCAGACTGACTGAGATGAGTCAGAGGGTTAATGTCACCCAGAGGGTTGGCTTTCAGTGTTTCTGTAAGTCATGCAGAAGATGTTTCTGTCCTTACAGTGCTGAATGGTTGCTTTGCTGGACCTTATCCACCAGAAATCTTGCCTTGTGTTTTGGCAGGCTCTGTGCTGTGGTTTGATGTCATTTACTGTGTTAGAAAAGGTTATTGCTGTTGGTGGTGTTTTGTTTGGCTTTTCCCTATGATCTGGAAGCTGATCTCAAATGGGATTTTACTGAAGATACTTAGTCTAATCAAATCAACTCAAAGGTTTCTGAGATGACACTTGGAAGTGATTATGTGAAAATGCTGACTTTGCTACCTCCAACTCCTTTGGCATACCTTCAGGGTAAGCCTGATACATTCTTGAGAATGTCTCAGTGGAACAAGAAGATGTCTTGCTGTGGTTCCCTTCAGATACTACACCGTTTGTGGGTGCGTCTCACTAGAATTTTGCCTCACAACCTCTTTGCAAATCAGTTTCTGTGCTAGCGTATGCTTAAGCCTCGGTGTTTTCTGAGCAGCTGACTGAAATGCTGGTGTTGCTGAAACTGTTATATGAAGTAAACTGTTCCATTCAGGGAACCTGACTGCAGGAAATCTTAGGTCACTTGTGGAATTTGTCTGTCTGCTCCGTTGGCGGGGAACTGAGTTAGAGCAGGGAGACGGGTTCTCTTTCTTGGCCATGTCCCAGCCGCTTTGCTTGCTGGGGTCTCCTACCTCCAAAATGAGACTGGCTTGTGTGATTGGCTTGGACTTTTGGGTTTTATTTTGTGGAGTGTGAGGGATTGGCAGCGTAAAGTTTTATTTCTATAGACAGTGTTTATTACTGTATGAAGGAGCCAAGCCTTTTCTTCCTGTTATCAGATATATGTAGCATTCTTTGCCTAGTTTTCTGAAGTTGTGGTAACTGTTCCCCGTTTCAAAATTAAGGTTTCTCTCCCTCCCCCTCAAACTGTGAAATATATGAAGTAAATATGTCATAGCTCCTTCAAATATTATTGGTGTAGAGTTGCAAGGCCTCACCCAGAAACTTAGAGATTCTTCAGCTATGCAAAATATTGGGTGATGAAGTTTTAGACGTATTTGTGGGGAGTGTTTGGTGCCATTCAGCACTACACAAAAGACCCCAGGTTTGGCAAATGTCTGAATTTGATGCCATGTTGTACTCTGTTAGGAGAACTCAGAAGGTGGACAGACAGGCCGGCACAGCTACTTGCGATGGTATATTCTTTACAACCGTTCTTTGGTGATGGGGTGCCTGTGTACTCCTGAATGGGAGGTTACCTGTCTGTAGCGTTCTGTGTAGCAATTTGCACACTTGGAAATTATCAAGATTAAATAACTTACTATTCCTAGCTATTGTGAGGGCTTTGCTTTGCATGGGGATGTCTCACTTGTTAGTTCTTCTCTTCCCTTCATCCAGCTTTTGCAGTTACACCACCCAAATGAGCTGCTTTCTTTGCTCTGCAGGACTGCCCAATTGCCTGGGTGAATGTCATGCTCTTTGACTATAAGGACCAGCTGAAAACAGGGGAATGCTGCTTGCACATGTGGTCCTCCTTTCCAGGTAACTTCAGGAGACAGAGCTACTGTATTCTTTTGTGTCTTTTAGTCTCTACCACAAAGGCAGGAGACACCCTACATTCTGCATTGCTGCCCTGTAGTTGTAAGAGGGGCTGTAATAGTTCAGACTAGCGGACCCAGTGGGGTTCCTGCTCTATATTGTGATGGCATCTAGAGCCCTGCCAAGATGAAGGCCTTATTTTGCTTGGCACTGCACGTGTGACATAAGAGGTTGCTGCTGTCCTACAGGTGTCATGTACACTTTGCTTGTGAGAGGTCAGGAAAATGAATTGAGCTGCTCAGGGCCAGGCAGTGCCCAGTGACAGAGCTGGAAGCAGGCTGTGCTCTGCTTTCTGGACCGAAGCAGAAGATTCAGAAAATTTGTGTTAATGGGTTTATGTACTTTGCTTTTCAGATGAGAAAGGGGAACTTCTGAACCCCATGGGCACGGTACAGTGCAACCCCAACACAGAAAGTGCAGCAGCCTTGGTCATCTGCTTCCCCAGCGTTGCATCGCATCCTGTGTATTACCCATCGTTTGAGCAGGTAGGGGACATGGACAATTTTTTTTGACACAGAAATTCCCTAGCTTTTCTGGTGCAGGAGCATTCAGTGTCATTGTCTCTTGGGCAGCTGTCGACAGGGACTGGGTACAAGCAAAGCTGCTTAATAGATATTGTTAATCAAAAATTTGACTTTTTAACTAATGGACCTTTGAGTGAGTACTTTTCCAACCTGTGAATTACTGAGGTAAAGCTGCCCTTATAGATGGGCATTTGTTTAAAAAATGGGTTTAACTGAGCTGCCTTTAAACTGCAGATAGCATAAGGCTCTATAGGAAAGAAGAATAAAAAGGGAAATGAGTGGAAGTAGACAGCTCCCTCCCTTTCAGCACAGACTGATAACATGCTGTGTGGTATGGGGATTTTCCATCTGTCACTGCAACGGGCCAGACAAAGTAGAAGAAGCAATGTGCTCGTTACCGGAAAGAAAGGAGATCTGCTCTGCCAGGGACATACATGCATGCTCCCCCATGACGCATGTTCTGGCTCAGAAGCTTTAGCGGGTTGTGCTGGGGAGCGAGGTGGCTCGGGCAGAGCGCTTTGCTTGGCAAACTCATGCCAGCTCTAAGAATCTGGAATGGCTCGTGTTAGCCTGGAGCTTGGTGACCCAGAGCCCCTGCTCACGAACTGTATGGGTGTGCAGATGTGCCCTTTTTGGGAAAAGGACTCACCCCTTCGTTCTTGTCACTACCAGGGAAGGGGCTTGAGGGGGCGGTCAGGTTACACCTCTGAGCAGAGGGGTCCTGCTGAGTACAGTACTTACACGTGGGCTGTGTGAGTGGTGTGATTCCTTTCTCCAGAGGTGGCAAGTGACTGATCTCTAAATGCAGCACAAATGCCTGAAGTGCTGGTGAGCTAGAAGTACAGAGGAAATGAGGAGCCTTTCTCAGACTCTTTATTTTGTATGTCAGCTGCTGGAGTTGGGGAGGAATGGAGAGCAACCCCGTACTGCACCAGAAGATCCTGAGGAGGTGAGTCTTCTGGAGTCAGTTTTTCAGCTGTGTGCAAGCCTGGTCTCATAGATAAAGTTACACATTTCTACCTTACCCCCAACCAGCTCTTTTCACCAAACTGGGTCATGCCCCAGCCCTACAGGGTTTCTCTGGGCTGAGCAAGTCCTCTGGGTTGAGACTGAGCGCTGTGTATGCTCTTTCCTGTGATTGCCATGAGCAGAAGCTGCAACTGAAGGAGATACTGGAGCGGAGGAGCCACACTGAACTATATGAGCATGAGAAAGACCTGGTATGGAAGATGAGATACGATATCCGTGACCAGTACCCGCAAGCTTTAGCAAAGCTGCTTATCATCACCAAATGGAACAAGCATGAAGACGTTGCCCAGGTGAGGATGCTGGGGTTGGCAGCCAGGGCTCCTTTTTTGATCCATCTTTCAGCATCTACGTTCCTGTGTTGTGTTTGGGAGGCCAGCTTAGCAGGGGATGTTCGGCAGTGCCCATGTGCTGGTAGGTTTGGCATCACTGAGGCTGAGGAAGATTTTCTGTTCTCAGCCGGTCACTGCGCATGTATGCTGAGTGGTTTCCAGCTGAGTTGAGGTTTGGCCCTTCTGGGCTCTGCTTGGCTCTGTGCACTGTCCCAGACTCATTTGTGGCCAACAAGGTCTTGCTTCGTCCCTCTAGAAACTGGAGGCAAGAAAAAATCTGTTCAGTTCCTAGCAGAAATAATACTTGGATTGAATATTCTTAACTGATAATGAGAGACTAGTATAAGTGACCTTGGGGAGTCAGGGAATCTCTTCCATTGAGAATGTCAGACATCAGTTAGGAAGGGTGTCTGTGCTGCTCATCCTTCCTTGCTTCAGGAGCTTTGACAGGACCTTCTAAAGGTCCCTTTCTAGTCTACATTATTACGCTGCAGAAAAGTGTTTTTCCCAAAGAGCTTATTCCACTAATAGTGGCACAGCAAATGTAACCCTGCCGTGGACTTGGGTGGCTCCCCCCTGTCAGCTTGCTAGAAAGTTTGGACTGATGGGTTTTAACCTGGTGTCTGCAAACTTGCTCTGAAGTATCTATAGTGACCTGCCACAGAGGAGCTCCTCTTCCATCAGGAGATTCATATCCATTGTCATAAAAGCCTTGTTCTTTTTTTTTTTTTTCTTTTTTCCCCTTACAGATGATTTCACTGCTTCAGACCTGGCCAGAGTTGCCTGTCCTGAATGCCTTGGAGCTACTGGATTTTAGCTTCCCTGACCGTTATGTTGGTTCCTTTGCTATCAACTCATTAAAGAAGCTGACGTAAGTGTCATCCACAAGGGATATGCAGAGCCCCTTTCTATTTATGTTAGGGCTGCTGAGGGGGACTGTGAACAAGCCTGACAGTCTTGTGTCTACAGTTTTTGCAAGTACACGTGTTGCAGTAAAGATACGGTTGTCTTTTATTTTTCCTTTCTATCCACAGAGATCACGAATTGTTCCAATACCTGCTACAGCTTGTCCAGGTGCTTAAGTATGAATCCTATTTAGACTGTGAATTAACCAAGTTCCTGCTGGACAGGGCATTATCCAACCGCAAGATCGGCCACTTCCTCTTCTGGCATCTGAGGTAAACAGCAAATGTGTTGCGCTCTTTCTCAGTAATCAAGTGAAAGCAGCATTTACTGGTTTCCTCACTGCTCTGGAGTAAGACAGCGAGCATATCTGTGTGTATAGGTGCCAGGGTACTTATTTAAAGGCTATTGACTGTGTTTAGCTAGTGCCTTTCATCAAAGCATTGGTGGGATTTCCTTGCTGTGATTACCAAAACCCAGGAACTGCTGCTTTTAACTCTGGGAGGCTGAATTAGGGTTACGCTAGGAGGATGCAAAATCCTTGTTTGTTAGTTCTTCCTTTTGTTGTTGTGGGTGTGGTGGTGTTAGGGTTAGGTTCTCTTTTCAGAATTTATATATGTATACTCATGCCTGTGAGTTGAAATCTACTTTAGACATCCATGGCCACCTGCCAGTTCTGAGCCATGGGCTCTGCACTGTCCTTGCTCCTTAAGTCATGTTCTCAGAGGAGTGGTTAGCAATGTAGTCATCCAGAGGGATGTCTCATCACTTCAAGCAATGGCGTTTCTACATCACTTTCTGGGGTGGGTGAGTTTTTTGTCCCTCCCCAGTATATAGAAAGAATCTAAACAGCAGCTATTATTCTGCATCCTCCTCTCCTCCCCATCCTTGTGCTGGCCTGAATGGGAGAATTAGTCACTTGCTGCAGTGAGTCAGAATTGCTTTAACATCCGTTCTTCCCCTAGGTCAGAAATGCACGTTCCTGCAGTTGCCTTGAGGTTTGGCCTGATCCTGGAAGCATACTGCAGAGGCAGCACCCACCATATGAAAGTTTTAATGAAACAGGTAGAAATTGCTTTTAGCCATAAGGTTGATTTCCCTCTTGCTTGGAGCTGGTTCTCAGCTGTTAGCTTTTCCAACTTAATGTTATCAGTAATGCAGAAAAAGGCTTTTAACTGCTGTATTGGTTTTGGCCTATCCTATTAAGAGCCTGGAGTTCCCCATCACATGTGACTTTGCTCATATCTTACTCACCCGCATGTGTCCCAAACTACACTGTGTATCTAGGATGGTTTGAAATGTTCAAAGAGCACTGCTGTTACTAGATGAGTTGAATGAGTTACTGTTTAGTAGGAGCTGATCACAACTGGCTGGCTGATTCAGAGCAGCGTACTCTTCAGTTGCTGGGTGGAGGTAATCCTGCTGTTTGCCCACTCTCTAAAACTTCTGTATTATCTTTCAAGGCTCACTGTACCTAATTCAGAGGTGAGGGACTCATATCATATCTAAGATGTACCCACAAACCAGTGCTCCTTCTAATTTCAAGACGGAGTGGCACTTCTGCATAACCAGAACACCCCAAAAGCATTTTAGGGCAGGGGCTGTAGGTCTCATCCTCACTTTCCTAGCCACTGCACCTCACTTCTTCCTTTGGTGCTTGATCATGTGCAGTATTCCTGGTGCAGCCATTACCTTGCAATGCATTTGTGCCCAGCAGAATATCCATATTTGATTACAGATCTTCCTCAGGCCAATACTACTATATTTGTTTTGTTGCAATCTCTGAAATTTTCACAAGTTGAAGAGAAGGTAAGCGATACAACCAAGGTTTAAATTTCACAGTAGATTTTAATAGTTTTTAAGCTTTCTCTAGCAATTTCGTATTTGGTAACCGTGTTCTATCCCTCCCTTTTTTCAGGGAGAAGCACTCAACAAGATGAAAGCTCTGAATGACTTTGTTAAAGTGAGTTCTCAGAAGGCTGCCAAGCCTCAAACCAAGGAGCTGATGCATGTGTGCATGAAGCAGGAAACTTACCTTGAAGCACTTTCCCACCTCCAGTCCCCCCTGAACCCCAACATTATCCTCGCTGAAGTTTGGTAAGGAAGATAACTGCATCTCTTAATTTGTGCCCCAGGCTATGTTCAGCAGTAGAGCCAGACTTCTGGTTACCCCAAGGTCCTCTCCTGGAAGTCACCAATCTGTTAGCATTTCTAGATGTTGTTGAATTATGCAGCTTTGGCTGCTTTTTCAATAGATGGAAACTCTGATGGTAATATTGTTTCCTCTAGTGTGGATCAGTGCACCTTTATGGACTCCAAAATGAAGCCTTTATGGATTGTGTTTAATAATGAAGAGACAGGTGGAGGTGGAGTGGGTATTATTTTTAAAAATGGAGATGGTAAGTCAGTCTTTAAAGGATATGTTTTTCACATGCATAAGTCTTAAATATTTATTGTGGTGAGGGGGCCTACATCTGGACGATTAAGAGGTTGTATAAATGAGGACCATCAACATGTTGAGTGTTTTGACAGTAATTTGGAGTCAGAATAAACTCGCCTTTATATTTCATTGCCGCCCTCTTTGTTAAGACTTTAGCACAGTAGTAGCTGGATACCCTTACGCAGTAAAAAGAAACCTGACGTGAGGTCTGAAAGAGCTACAGCAGTCTGGGCTGTGGAGGGATGGAGTGGCTGCTGCTCCCTGTTCTGTGCAGACAGGTGTTCTCTAAAGTCCTACATTGACTACGCTGGGAAGAGCTTTGGCAAAGTGAAGTAGTGTATCTCTCCATTAGTGTGATCGTGTCTGAGTTAAGGTATCCAGTATAGTGGTTTTGCTGCAGTGTTGATGGGTGCTGATGTTCTTTATGAGCTAGACCCAGCAGGTGCCAAAGATGGCAGAGGCCCCTCTAGCAGCCTGCTTCAGGGGCAGAACAAGTGCCACTTACAGGAGCCCAAGAGGATGGGAGGCACTTAGGACCCTTTTTTTCCTTTGTAATGCTGCACAGATCTTCGCCAGGACATGCTGACTCTGCAGATGATCCAGTTGATGGACGTCCTGTGGAAGCAGGAGGGCCTGGACCTGAGGTGAGGAATGTGCACAGAGTTGTCCTACCGCGATGGTAAATCACCTGTGGTGAGGCCATTTTATCTGCAAGCTTATTTTGTCCCTGCCAGGTCTGTCTAGTATTCCATGCGCAGCTGGTCAGGTTGTGTGGTACTGAGGCGTAGAAATGCAGAGTAGCTGTTGAGCAGACATGGCAGACAAGGGAAAACTTACAAGTCAACACAACCCCATTCTGGGCAAGATTTCAGTGGAAGGGTTTCTTTCATCTCTGCAGGATGACCCCTTATGGCTGCCTCTCCACAGGAGACAAGACTGGGCTGATAGAAGTCGTCATGCATTCAGACACCATTGCCAACATCCAGCTGAAAAAGAGCAACATGGCAGCCACTGCAGCCTTCAACAAGGATGCGCTGCTGAACTGGCTAAAATCCAAGAACCCAGGGTAAGTGGACTCACCTTTTACTCGGTGCTGCTTTGCTGCTTCCCTCCATCTAGCAACATTTCTTCTGCTTTGTTCAATTTTTTCCTTCAGTTACACATATTTCCAAGCTGTCCCACAATATCTAGGGCCGCTTCACGGCCTGGCACACTGGAAGGCATCATATGGGTCTGTGTGGGTCTCGAGCAGAAGTGGAGGCATCTGGGTTACCGTGTGCAAGCTTTTTTGATCTTTGACAGCTTAAGGTAGCCCCGTCCGCAAGCTGGATCCTAAACCTTGATCTTCTTGTTGTCCCAGTACTTTCTCCAGAGATAGGGAGTCAGCATGGTGGCAGCTGGAAAAGGGGCAGGAGGAGTAATGCCAAAACTGGGAGGTAAAGTGGCACAAAAGCCACGTAGCTTGGTGTTTTACTAGATACAGAAATGGACAGCAGCAATGCATCAGTGCTACTGTGATGTAGCAGGGCACCAATGGGAATTATTGTAGGAGCCTACTTTATCTTTCGGATCTGTGGAGATCTTGAACTGAGTTAATTTAGTTGAGACTAAACCATTTGTGTTGAGATTGTGGGCTCAACCTTATCCAGACCTCTTCCCATTACAGACAGTTGTTACTGCAGCTAGTTTTTTGTAAAGCATGACTGGGAGTAGTGTCTCTGGAAAACACTACACAAAATCAAACACGATTCCCTTACCTTCTCCTGCAGGTTTGCATGGGGGAAGCTATAAAAACAACTCTTCCAGTGATGAAATACCGGTGTTCACAGTAAAATTTCCTTTTGATCTTTTTCTTACCCTCTTTAGTGATGCATTAGAACAAGCTATTGAAGAGTTCACTCTTTCCTGTGCTGGGTACTGCGTGGCAACATATGTGCTGGGGATAGGTGACCGGCACAGTGATAACATCATGATCCGGGAAACGGGACAGGTATGGGGATTCACTGCTGCTGCTGAAGTACTGGAAGAGGGGAGTGAATGCTATTTAGCAATGGACGGATACATCCCTGTGCAATCCTACTGCTAAGGAATGTACCTCACCTTCCAGCCCTGAGGCAGAAAGGACAAGTATTCTCAGTAGCTTCTATCAGTAAGAGGGTAAATACAGTTTCTAATTTGAATTACACTTCTGTAAGCATCACTGCCAGCAGCTGGTGCTGTTATAATACCCACTTGGAAATTACAGTGGAGTGATTCATACCTCTCAGACCTAAAATTGTCTGCAGATGCAAACTCAAGCACTGTGCTTATCAGTCTGAAGACTCACTAGGCTTCAACAGTCACAAACTGCTTGTAGTTGCTAGGTAAGATCCTCACTTACTTACCCAAGCTGTTATATTTATAGCCTTCACCCTAGAAAAAAATGTTGTAGTTTGTTTGTTTTAAATGAATGCAAGTGATCAGTACAGTTTTAATTTCACATCAGTACCTGTACCAATTTGGAAGACAAAAGGCAAAACTAGGAAAAAGAAAATGCCTTTGTTAACAGGGTATGTACTAAACTACATCAGTAATATTTTGGTAAAGGAGGAAGTCTAAGCTATCTATCTATAAAGCCTAAAACAAGCCTGTGCTAGATGGTGCAAGGTAAGTCTCCTGCAGGTCCACTGAAGTCAGCTAGTTAGACAGGAGTCTCAAAACATCAGCTATTTCTTAAAAATATTATCTCTCAGGTATGCGCAACTGTCTGCCTGCTTTCTGTGTAGCATCCCACTCCTCTACATCTTATTCCTGTAAATCAAGGAGTGGTGGTCAGAGGACCCTGGTAGTGCCTTTGTTTCAGGGTCGCAGCAGGGACAGAGACACTGTGGCACTTGACAACATGACACTCGCGTCCCTGCCGGGGCAGTGACCAGCAGCAGCCCTCACCTAGGACTGCCTCTCCCTGTTCCCAAGCGCGGGGCAGGGAGCTCACAAGCTGCTTCTGCAGAGCAGAGGCCACTCAGGTCTTTGCCCACAGCGGGGAGCTGATGCCCTGTGGTGTTACAGCCCCGGGGTTTGTCCTCCTGGGCTCTGTGACACTGCCATCGTGTGCAAGGCTCTGCACAGAGTCCGCCTCCCCTCCTTCCACTAGTGGTGCAACCGCTTCACCATGCTTGGTATTCAAAAAAACCCAAACAAACAAGCAAAAAAAACCCAAAACAACAAAAAAAAGGCCTTACTTGAGCAAGTAATATTTTGTAGCAACTTCAAAACAGGACATCATCTTTCCACATACTACCCGGGACTGCAGACCGCACTGGCAGGGTGTCCGGTTTAGGTCTCTCTCTGCTTCTACTTAGTGACACACTAAGGCTTTATAAAAACCAGAAATTTCTTTAGATATATCAAGTATTGAAGAGGTAAGTGCCTCTCCTATCCAACATCTAATTACACTAGAGAATATCTTGGCAAGTAAATACTGCCTCTTCTGCCAAAGGAGGAGTGCTGTGGGAGAAGCCATTTTTCTCCCTCCCAAAATCCTATGGTCAGTATCTTTTGAATAGAGGAAGTGTGAAGAGAACTCAACACTGATCAGCTAAAATGGATACTGTTCTGAAAACACCTTTTTTGTCCTTATTTTCAGCTGTTCCATATTGATTTTGGTCACTTTTTGGGGAACTTCAAGACTAAATTTGGTATTAATAGAGAACGAGTTCCTTTCATCTTAACCTATGACTTTGTGCATGTCATCCAGCAAGGAAAAACTAACAACAATGAGAAGTTTGAAAGGTAAGTTGCAGCAGTAAACTTGACTTAAGCTTTCTAAGCTTTGAATTTTCAGACTTTATTTCCACTAATCATGTGTAGCTAGCCTATAGCTGTCTATACAAGTAACTATATTACTATCTACCTGTTAAAGAAGGTAAAAGAGCTTGGTAGTCATCCATATGGACAGCCCGCTTCAGACTAATACACAGTCTTGCTTTATAAAATTACATAGCTTGAGGTCTTGACTCCTTTGCCTCATCTTCCTTTCTGAACAGGTTCAGGGGGTATTGTGAAAAAGCCTATATGATTCTGAGGCGCCATGGTCTTCTCTTCCTGCACTTGTTTGCACTGATGAAAGCTGCTGGCCTGCCAGAACTCAGCTGCTCTAAAGACATTCAGTATCTAAAGGTAAGAAAAGCAGAGCCAAGGTATGGTTAGAACTGAATACCTGATCTTGTAGCTCAGTGAGGAGGAGGAGTTCAGTGTGGAAGGGTGTATTCTTAGAATTAAATGAGCTCAAAAATTCATGAGTAGATGTCCCAGTGTTCACGTGCAAGACATCAGAAATGCCAGATCCTGGTGCTCAGGAAATAATTTCAGCTTCTTCAGCACAAAGGCAGCAGGTACCTTGGAGAACCAGCTTGCAGGGGAGGAGATAGCTCTTTGGTTGCAGGCTTGCCTCCTAACTGATAACAACGTAGTCCTGGCCAACTGAAAGACAGTAGCTTTGTACAAGAGCACAGAAAAGCCCACTGTTTGCCTACACCCAACATAAAGGTAGGATGCATGCATTTAGCAGAATGAAAAAGCCTCCTGCAACTACAGTTACTATTAAAAACAGTTAATGGCTACTCATTTCCTACTCGTTTCTCCTTTCACTGGAGTAATTTCTTAGTGAGTAAACCTTAGTAGTTGAGCAATTAATTGTAGAGTTGCATTGTGAGTGAGGCTACAGTAGTTTCTGCCTCTTACCCTTCAGGATTCCCTAGCTCTTGGGAAAACAGATGAGGAGGCACTGAAGCACTTCAGACTGAAATTTAACGAAGCCCTGCGAGAAAGCTGGAAAACCAAAGTGAACTGGCTGGCACACAATGTATCCAAAGATAACAGACAGTAGAGGAACATCAGCCTGCACACTTGCTCCAAGAGAATGTAATACCTGCACTGAGTCCAGCAATTGTAGACAGGTTTTTAAAGACTGATGAATGCTGCCATGTTGAAGATCCCCCACCTGCATTCCCAGAGATCAGACATTTCTGCATGACTGAACAATTGGACTGTCATCAGCTGCATAATCATGTCTGCTGTAGAACTTTGGGGGACAAGGGAGAGGCGCGAGGCAATAAAAATACTGCATACAGTGAAAGGTAGGTAGATGTACTGGACCCTTAAGAACTTGTTAAGCTTCAACTACATCTTCTAATGGAAGAGTTCAGGCAGTTGTAACATCCTCCCAGTGTGTTAATGTGTATATTATTTCGATTTTCTTGAAAATTTAGGTGAACACTGAGAACCTACTATGTCTGTAGCTTTTATACTATAGCCCATCTTCTAGGTCCCCACCATTACAGCTCAGAGGCATTAACTTCACCACATGATTGTTCTGCCTGCCCTGTTTCAGTGTACACCAAGGTAGGTCAGCTCAAATCACCACTGAAGCTGATTTGGACAAATTGTTTTACGCTGCATTGTGACTGGGTAAAAATATCCATGCTGTCATCTTACTTTCTCTCTGCTAGAGAGGCCAAAGTGTTCTGAAACTGAACTGGAACGCAGCTCTTGCTGTCAAAAAACTGATGCCACGGGAACAGGCTTGGATCAGCCAGCAGGTTAGGTAATTTTGTTTGCTTTCCCAAGTCTGACCTTAGCTGAGCCTCAAGCAGTTCCCAGGTTGCTGCGTTTATTCTGGTTTTAAGCCTGAAAACGTAAGATTGCATTTTCAAAACTGGCAAGTAATGTTGGTTGCTACGTGCACCTCCCGCTGGGGTACATTAGAGCCGGTTTGCACTCGGCTTCCCTGCAGGATGGGGAGGCAGGGCCCTGGCCTACACCTGCGTGAGCGCTGGGATCCTGCCCTGTGCTGCCAGAGTCAGCTGGGACAGATGGTGCCATTCTGTGCCTAAATTATGTGGCCAGTCTGCTGCCTTGTGTAAGGGCAGAGGAGTGCCACATGAGGAGGTTTGACTCCAAAACACTTACTGTAAGTTGCATCTGAGTTCTCATCTTACAAATTTCTTTCTTTCCACACTCTTCTTCCTTTCAACCACAGTGCACGAGTCCTTGTCTGTTATTAGAGCTGGTGTGCAAAGACTGTGTCTGCACAGGGGTTCAGCGGGAGAGGGAGCTGTGGTCATCTGAGCTGGTACCTAAACCAGGACAAACTCTCTACTCCAGCCTCCTCCTGTTCTCACCACTGCCTGCCTCCTTCCCAGCTCCCACGAGGTGCTGTCATCAATCACCAATTCCTACGCTTGTCTCATTTTTGTCTCCTGCTCATGTCCCCACCTGGTGAGCAGTTCTGAGCAGGGGTGTTGCGCAGGGACAGATGAGCAGGAGCGGCTGCTGCTCCTCGGAGCCTCTCAGGAGCAGGCTCCAGCCTGCGGGTCCTGCTGGAAGATGGGTGCAGTGGTGTGGTTCGTACCTGCTTCCTTTAGCAGTTCCCCAGGCTGCTTCCTTCCATTTCCCCAGGTTCTCCACAACATCAGGCTCCTATGGAGGTGCTACCATTCCTGCCTTTTAAGGAATAGTCTAATTTTCAAGACACCCCTGAAGCTGAATCCTGTATTTGATATGCCCTTAACTAGGTTGAGTGATTTTCTTTTACTCACAGAACTATTTTTTAAACTCTCTTACTTATTCCTACTTAGGTAAAAGAAACAACAGGCATTTCAGATCCTCTTTCTCAAGCGACAAGAGATGCAAGTATCATCGAATGATGGACTGCGCTCTCATGTAAATTTAGCTTTCATGTCTGGTTTAAAATTCCCACAAACCCAGCAAGTCTAGGATAGAGACTGAACTGGCCTGTAATAAATTATTCTTAATGAAACTTCCCTGTCAGAGGGTAAATTTGATTTGATAGCATTTTTGCATCCAGCACATAGGTACAAGTCATTCCTGACTTTCAGTTCTTTTTAATACTGCAAAATGCCCTGTACTTTAAAAATTAAAAGTCGGCTGCCCCATACTGGCTGTTTAAGTCCACCTTCTTTATTTTTTCAAGAGGACAAGTTCAAATACATTTTTCTTCATCACTGCCTTAAAGTAACTTCTACCCTAAGTAGAAATGAATAGTAGTAATAAATAATACTAGGTGTGGTCAGTGAATGGAGTATGAAACACCTTTAATAAACCCTTCTCTCATTACCTTTACATACGAACAGATACTAGCAGATTGTAGTTCAGCATTATTCTGTTAATTTAAATTCTGATTTAAAGTACTTACTATTTCTTTTCATAAAAGATGTTATGCTATGAAGTCTGTTCTATACTATTTTCTAAATATTAATATAAACAGGTTGCCTCTCATAGAAGAAGCAGTTATACAGAAGACAACTCATTGTAACTTTACATAACCCTCCGAGATCCCCTTTTTCTACACCTTTCAAATGATACTGTATGGGACTGAGAAATGGCCAGAACATTTCAAGATAGAATGTCATGTACCCTTCCAAGTGATCCAAATTACTTATGGACAGATTTTTCTGTAACAGTTCTCCAGCATACTGTTTAATAATTAGTACTGAAGGTATGTTTGCAGCAGGCAATTGTTTTTGCTGTACTTGCTCTGTTACAGACCCTACTTAGCCAGAACCAAATGCTAGCTCCAGGTCTTCCTGTAGCTATGCATTTGACAGTAACACTAGGAAAACAACAGTGGGTAAATGTGTACAGACTGACCTGCAGGAAACAAAACACCATCTGGACTGGAGACAGCACTCTAGACCTGCTCCTGCTTCTAGAAATTAGACTAAAAGAAACGTCCTGTAGTCTTTGGGTATTGTCCTGTGTGAAAGATGAGCTCTCTGCAATGTGCTTTCACTGATACAGTTTTCCTGAGTCTAGAATATTACTCACCATTTTCCTGAACGGAACAGCAAGTAGTGGTCTCGGGTTTCAAATAAAATCTTAGAACCATGAATCCGTATTTTTAATTAGAAATATAGTAGTATAAAACTGGCCAAAAAATTCTGAGTGTAAACCATCAGACATGTTTGGGGTTTTTTAGCTGTTTTAAAGCACCATAAGGATAACTTTCCTTTCCTGTGCCAGATCCTATAGCCTCAAGCTTCACAGGCTAGGAGGGTGCTGGCCATCACAATTTAAATCAGGAGTAGGAAGATGCCTGTATCTCTTACAGCCAATTAAAACAAAAAAAATCTATTACTTGGACAAATGCTGAAGTTTCCATGGGGTAGCAGGTTACCACATGCTGGCTGCTCTGCACCTGCCAGTGAGTCTGTGCTTGCACAGCGCGATGCTGTTCTACGCCAGGGGTGCTCACCTTATTTTTAGGCCCCCCCAGGAAAACAGGTCCTGTGATGCTACTTCCCAGTTATTATGCAGGAATAATGCACGTAACGAGTGTCTGGTAAACACCCTGTTTGTGCATCGACCCTCTGGGTCACCTACCCTCTAGGATGATGCCTTCACAAGGTTTCACCATTGTCCCCTAACAATTTGAGGCCAGCTTTTGTAATTCTTTGAGGTTTTCTTAAGAGCCAGATGTGTGGAGACCAAGCATTCTGCATCCAAGATTAATGGAATATATAGAAAATTGGCCACAATCATGGAATAAAGGTTGGCAGGGATTCTGCTGAAATACTAAATAGGAAATGCAAAAAGGGGGAACAGGAACCCAACACTCAAGCTCCAACAGTTGTTTTTATAGCAGAAGAAAATACTGCAGGATTTAGAGCTCTCTGCATGCTGATCAGTGAAAAAGCAATACTGCACCCGTCTGAGTCACTGCTCCTGCAGCAGGGAGAGGCAGGCATTTGTGACCATTTTGTGTTCCCTCCCTTGGGGTGGTATGTCCAGATTGTGTTGGCTTTCTCAGAGTTCCTAGAGGATAAAGGTTGCTAGTTCCTTCCTCCCTGAACTGATTAATGGAACAAAAAGTATGCAAAAATATCAGGCCCCCTGGAAGCTGAGATGCACTGAAACCACACCAACCTCATCAGTGGTTTGTACATTTGTGTGGAAAGAACATGTGAATGTAAAAGCAGCTCTCTTATATTGCCCCAAAGCAGCAGTCCAGGATCCTGCCCATCACACTGCAGCCAGGCAGCCTTACCTGGCAGTCTCCTCAGTCCCTCTCGGGTCCCTGGATCGCAGACGCTCAGCAGGTCGTACCTGCAGCTGGTGTTTCAGGTAGTGCTTCCAGAAAGCGCAGCCCTACTACAGTTTTACAGAAGTACAAAGCAGCAGTGGCTCGTGTCATCTGTCCTTCAATTTTAGAAGTGCAATAAAACAAAGCTGTAAGAGTGTAAACTCGAACTGAGCAATTCTAAAGGTGTTTCTTAATTCAGCACAGTTTTACAGAGAAAATTGACTTACCTGCAAGAAGTAAAAATATCAATGAATCAAGTAGACCTTCTTCCTTGTACACCACAGGAATAGCATCTTGCACAAAGCTGATGGCTGCATGGGGTCACAGAGCTCCAAATGTACAAAGCAGCAGCTCACCTGATAGTTATCAGCAAGTTCAGTTGTACTGAAGATTGAAAATTAAATCACTTTCAAAAACATTACATTTCACTATAAATAAGTAGTTTCTGATTTTATAAATATAATCAAAATGATACCCCTTTCTATTTATTTAGAGATGTTTCTGTGATTATTTTTTTTTAACTCTGTACAAACTGATTGTGCTTATTCTGTTGCCTTTGAAAAAAAAAAAAGTATTTTTTTAAGCCAAACCATGGTTCTGTAAGGAGAGAGTGTTTACATGTCTAACTTGTCAGTTGCTTTAGGTACGTGTTTTGTAAGTCAGAAAATAAAATTATTGATAAATTGTAAATACATGCTGCCAAAGTCCTTTTGTGCTTGAGAACTGAAACCAAACCAAAACTCTTCTACTGCCACCAGCAGAGGCAAATTAACACACAGTTTATATAGCTTGATTCAACTTTGTTCCATTGAGTAAGAAATAAATGCAAACAACCTTTAGAACCAGAAATTTATTGTAGCTTATAGACTTTCCAAACTGACCTGTTACCAATATACACATCTGAAAAGTTATACCCACAGTGGCTACAAACTGCATCAGGACGTTTACAACCTTTCAGTATTACCATTAAGTCATGATCAGTTTTGGTCTAAAATACAGCAGCTACAGCAACAGTATATGGAAGGGTAAGTCTTCTACACATTAACACAGGACAACTGTCAGACATAAGTTAAAAGTTTCCCAGTTTACTTAAAACTAGCAGTTATATTACCACGTAAGTAGTCAAAACCATTTCCCCATTGTAGAAATCTAAAATTTTACATAAAAAAAACAACCCCCCAAAACAGTAAGCTAGTTGTGTGGGTTCTCTTCCCTGCTTCCAGGTCCATCTACTATTGTTAAAAGGCACTCCGCAGTTACGCGTTACCCCAGATAAAACCCACCATCAGATCCCATTACACACATCTCTAGGTGAGAATAGGTCTGCTCTGAAAAATCAAAACTATAGAAACATTTGAACCAATCCTTATCTTTTATATCTCTTTGAATTATGACCCTTTGGCTTGCTTGTTTCTCCTCTAGCATGCTTACCCTGTGCAACACGTCCCTGCTGTGTCCTCTCAGCCACGCACTAGCCTGCGACGAGATGTGTGGTCTGTGCACCCGGAACAAAGGCACACTACATACAAGATCAAAAACTGGAACTTTGCTTACCGTGCTGAGGAGTGAATGGAGTCCTACTCTCCTGTTACAAGCAAAACAAGTTTCTCTCTTTAATCCACCTCCAAATGTAAAAAGTAAGCAGATACTCATTATTCAAGGCTCTGCATTAAGACCAAATAAAGTTAAATAAACAAGACCTGCCTTACAAAAAAAACAGCACTCTCCACCATGGGGTCATAACTTACTTTTCGTACCTTTCAGCTATTTCTTTAGAAAAGTCCTTTTCAATTCCAAGCTAGAACTTTGATCAGAAACAACCAAAAATCATCTGGACTTGAAATAATATTAATGTGATTCCCAAGGTTTTCTGGTTGGAAGGTTTATGCTATAGTTTTTCACCAGCAGGAAAACACAATTACTAAGTGTAAACAAAGGCTTAATACACCAACAGTCCAAGTTACTGTACAAGGGGCTACAGGGAATGAGCAGGAGTGTGTTTAATAGAAATGGTATCAGCTATGCCCCAAACCCTCCCGCTACCAAATTAGAGAAACTGAACAGGCCAAAAAAAAAAAAAAAAAAAACCACCACCAAAATACCTCTCTATGGAGACTGGTAGCCAAGGTGCACAGGTCTCAGGCTTTCCAGCTTCAGTTACCCATGTAGCAATCAACTAAATAAATGAATAATCCACCCTGTCAGCAGTATGAACAGACCATCACTGTACTACAGGCAGCCTCACTGTAATTAATAGGAACTGTGGCAACACACCACAGCAACAGCACACTAATTTGCCCACAATCCAAGTAGTGTTTTTTCCCAATAATTTAAAAGCCCTCATGCCAAGACTTAATTGGAAAAAAATAAAAAAGAAAAAAACAGAAAACAAATAACTGTATTGCACAGGGCAGTTGAACCTCTGCAGAGGTTCCTAAAGCCTCTATAATTTCTCACCAGCTTCTCTGTTCCCTCTGCAAAAATAAAGGAGATTAAACAAAAGGAAGAAAAAAATTAAAGAGAGCGGGGCATGAGCGAACATGGCAGTCAAGGCCAATGACACTGTATTACTGAAACATCTACACTAGATAACTGTGCCCGTGCTCCTGCTTGCAGTAGTATGAGACTCGTAATATTTATTTCATGCTGCATGATTTTTTACTTTAGCATGTTTTAAACCCCAATCCCTGTTTTCACTACCACAAATGACATAATTACATAATTCCAATATATTTACAAAATATTAAAAAGTCTGTTAATCTTCTACATATTAACCTCATTCTGCCACTTTACACATGCACTAATTTGGGGAAAAAAATTAAAAGAAATCAACAGGCTGAAAGGAGCAGCTATACCCTTTGTCAACAAGCAATCTTTGCATCTTTTAGAAAGAGAAAAAGGAACAAAGCCAACTTTGTTTCACTGAGCAAAAAAAGACAGTTCAGAAATTCATGTGCAATGGCTACAGATCTGTAGAGTCACTTAGCTGAGATGACATGAAGAAAAAGTGCAAGGTGGTTCCTCACATAGCGTAAAAAAAAAATCCAGTCACCGAGGCATGGCTGAAGGAAAATAGGTGCTAACTACAATTCTAGAAACAGCATCGGGAACTAGCTGACATAACACAAACACAGGGATGTGTGTGGGTTGAATCTACTGGCCAGAATGATTTTTTTTTTTTGTTTTTAAACACCATGAATCCTTGGTAACAATGGAGTGTATTACAGTGGAGTCTTCTAGAGCAGAAACATAAAGACAAAGGGAACAGCTAGAATCAATAACTGAGGGTAGAGTCATCCCATTCCAGCTGTTGCTGTCTATTAACATTCTGTTGGTCCTCCTCCTGCTCTCCCTCCTCCTCCTCACTGCTTTCAGACTCTGCACTAGTGATGTCATCTTCTTCTCCATCTTCACTTTCTTCTTCCTCTTCTTCCTCTTCCTCTTCACTGCTGTGTTGATCCTCGTAAGTCTGTTAAGACAGAAATTAGCTGTCAATATACTGGCTGCAACTTTTTTTATTCTTTTGAATTCAGGCACAAGGCACTGTATTGAGAAAGAGCTGTTACGGATTCCTTACTGGTTTCGGAAGTTCAGCGCTAATTAGGCAACCAGAAAACAAAACAAAACAACAACAAAAACAACCCCACAACCCCCACCCCCTAAAAAAACGGGAAGTAGCGCTCCTTATAATATCTTTGTTACATTGGTACCAATCCTGTCACTCAAACTAATTCTGAAGTATGATCCAGTACTTCAAATTCTACTGGAAAAGAATCTTTCCATAGGGTCACACAAAGACCACTAACATTGCTTGTCTGTCTTGTTCCTGATTTTTCTAAAAATTCCGATGTCAGCCACAGGAGAAGGAAACATCATAAACAGATGTTTTGACAATAAATTCTTGCAACTCTGAAAACAGCTGGTTAAGGTAGCATGCAGCATGACAAACACTCCTGACCTGTAAAATCCAATTACATATCATGAAGCTATAACCCATGCAAGATCCCAAACATAACTGCTCTTGGCATTTGTCACTTCAGAGCACTTGTTAAAAATTGACAGTTAATGTCTACTCTGTGTTCAGTGGTTGGTTTTGTTCCTCAACTGTCTGTGTACAATCATACCCATTACAGCTGGAAAAAGGCATTGTTTTGTTACATGCTGAGACACCAGTTTTACCTCCATGGGGTTCACAGTGATGGTCAGAGCAGAGTCATCCCAGTCCATCTCATTTTCCTTTCCAGTGTCCTGGTCACGCATCGTTCGCTGATGCGCAGCACGGATCCGGAACACTCCCAGAATAATCATAAAAACCAGGAAACTAACACAGACTACAATCACAACAGTGGCTGTACTTGGAACAACTGCAACAAGAAAATACAAGGAGGTTTTAGATGATATCAATAACTAACTCTTATACAGTGCTAACTACTAGTCCTCTGTTCCCATCCCCTGCAAGAGGGAAATGGCATTATACAAATATTATATGTAGCTACAGAGAGGCAGTTTGTCTAAGGCCACTTAAAAAGTCAGTTGGAGAGTGAGAACTAAAACTTAATTCCTTAAGTATAATTATATCAACCTGAAGGATTGACAACACACGGTAAACAGATTCCACCACACACACAGACTCCTCTTTAAAATGCCTGTTTTTCTTCCTCTCTTGCACCCATGCCAAATTAATATAATTAAAACAGAAAGGTCAGATACCATGACTCATCAAGGGAATAACGCTGCCGTTCTTTCTTCATGCCATTCAGAAGAAATATTGTTCCAGTTCCTCACAGGCCTTTATCTAGGCCTCACAGTCCCCTCAAGACTAGCACACCTCCCATTCTCCAATGTACACACACCAACAGAAAGCTCTCCTGCTGGCAGGAGAAGGTACTTCACAGTAATTTCCACTAATCCACTACTCCCTGCCTGGGCAACAGCAGAACAGGACCGAGTAGCTGCTTAGATTACTAGTCCAACACACTGGTTTAAAATCTGGAAGAAAACCTCTCTGCAGCAAGAAGTCTCTGTGACATTTTAACAGCAGCTGATATTGTAATAGCTGAACTTCGGTGACTGAGAAGTTTTACCTGAAAATGGATGTGGGTTAGCTAAGTTGTGACCAGAGAGATCAACAAATGTATGATGCACTGGATGAACAAACTGTGGTTGCGCAGCTATGTGATTAGCATGTTCTACTGGGTTAGCTGTGTGGATAACATTCACCTGGGAACAAAAAGAAAATGTTAAACTCCAGAAATGCAACAGTTTACTTTTGAAGAGATAGAAAGGAAGAAAAAGAAAAAACTGTAACTATTTCCCAGAGCAGGCATCCAATTCTCCTTCAACACAGCAATGGCTTGTCTGAGGGAACAATCATCCCAATCACTAGTGGCTCGTATGTTACAGCTTCTTGTCACAAACCCCTTCCATTTCACAGCTCTCAAATTTGTTTTAGTTAGTCAGGCAAAGTTGTGTACAGACACCGGTTTTTCAGAATACAACAGATAAAGCCAGTTTATTATCAACTTTGGTAGCCAGCGATCCTAATCCTGAAATTAAAAGTATATACAAAGATATGGAACACATTAATTACATTTTCTTCGTTCCCATCTTCCTTACTCTGCTGTATATCTTCAGCTAACAGCAAAGAAAAAAATCCGTATTACAGTCAAAGGGTTAAAAAAAGCCCCGTG